TCTTTTCTCTTGAAGGATATGAATCTTCTTGTGGCTGTACTTCCAAATCGAGACATGTAATTTACATTTATATTACTTTTGTAATTGGAAGAGGAGAGCCGTATTAGTCTATGGTGGCAAAAAATCGGGAAGAGTCTGTAAGTACCTTTTCCGAGTAACACGTTTTATTAAAAAGTGCAACTAGTGAAAGCTTATGCTTTGAATAAAATTTGTTAATTTTAGTTTTTTTCATTAGTATCTATCCCAATTTTGACTCTCCTCCCTGCTGCTGCCACCTTGTTAATACATAGGTTAACATTTCCTGATAAAGAGTTGTTATTCAATAGCTTTCTGTAAAGATCAGCGATGCATGTATGGCTGTTAATTTTATCACTTCTCTGGATCTAATAATTTAATTAGCGACCATTTTATATAGCTTTGTATATATTGTGTATTATGTGTCTACAATTGTCCTCCTGTCCCCAATCCTTAGTCCATGTTTAAAACGACTATTATATTTCTGAAGTTTTAGGGCAAAAGAACCAACAACAAAAGGTTTTTGCCAGCCCTAATTTTTAAAATATTTACAACACACTGTCATATTCTAAACTTCCTGAAATTAAAACACCATTTTGATTTTTGTTGTTCGGGTGCTAAGTCATGTCTTACTCTTCAGAACCCCATAGACCATAGCATGCCAGGCCCCCCTATCTTCCACTGACTCCCTGAGTTTGTCCAAATTTATATACATTGCGTCGATGATACGAGGCCAATTCGGAAATAAACCTCTGTTTGGTTATCAATGACAGACACTCGCAGATACAGAACGTTTATTAGACACATTAGAAAACTACAACATTAGATTACTTTTCGACATAATCACCATTCAAATTGAGGCACTTGTCATAACATCTTACAAGGTTTGAAATTCTTTAGTAGTAGTCATTTGGTGCCAAATCTGAAAGACAGACTGGGTTGATAAGCTGTAGATTTGGACCTCAAAGTCCAGCCTAGGGATGAAAACATAGACGTCTTGGAGAATTTCTGGACACTGAAGAGAGTTGTTAGGAACTTTTCTGCCCAGGCTTTCCTATTATTTTATTTAAATATCTCCAATAAAAGGACCCAAGATGAGTTAGGGCATCTGAGAAGAAAGAACAGAATTTCCCTCATAGGTATCAAGAGCCTGCACTTGTATCTAGTCTTCTTTATTATTTGTTTGATAGCTAAATCTGATCTGGTAAAAACCTGGGGTCTAGGTTTGCTAGATCCTGAATATATTAGGTTCTGTTCCAAAACAAACCCTGTGCTCCTCACTTCCCTTTTGGTCTGCAACATAGGCTGAGTATAAAGTCCCGATTTTCTCTTCTACATCTTAGCCGTCATGGGACTGCTGTCCTTTCTCTAGGATCCTAATTTGTGAGATGTTTAATTCCAGTTTGAAAGTTTAATTTCATGAGGGGGTGGAATGAAAATAGAGTGAAAGATAGGTCTGCAATGGGAGAGAGAGTACAAAATAGTCCAGTGACATTCCTTCCATATTTGGTCTAGTTCCTCTTAGTCTTCCAGTCTTGTCTGTGGTCCCTAAATGATTTTTTTCCCTACTAGACCAAAAAGTCCTACAGATTGGTTCCACCCCAAGGACTCCATCAGTTTTCAAGTTAAAAATAATGTTATTAAAAGATGACAAAGCTGAATTTGTGCAGGTAACTGTATAAGAAAGAAAGAAAGAAAGAAAGAAAGAAAGAAAGAAAGAAAGAAAGAAAGAAAGAAAGAAAGAAAGAAAGAAAGAAAGAAAGAAAACAAGTAATTGTAGAAATAGCAACACTGATGAATATGATTGAGGAGACAGGACAGATGGTAAACTAGATATGAATTATGTATGTGATCTGTGCCAGTAAGATGAATGACATTTATTTCTGACCAGTTCAACAAGTTAGTGTTAGCAAGAAAAGATTCACAACATAGAGACCATAATAAAAAAGACCTTGAAGAAATTTTAAATGAAAAAGATAGTTAAACTGGTCTGCCCAACTTGTGAAAAAATGTGAGGACAATAGACTGAACAATTTTCAAGTCAAATATTTAAGAAATAGAAAGGAAACGAATGTGCTGTTGGCTAAGGATAGTAGAAAAAAAAGTATTTTTCAATGAAAGAAAAATAATTGGCCTGGTGGTTAAGACACCAGTCTAGAAAGCTGGAGACCTTGAGTTTGAGTCCCACCTTAACTATGAAAGCCAGTTGGGTGACTTGGGGCCAGTTGCACTCTCTCAGCCCAACTCACTTCATATGGTTGTTGTTGTGGGGAAAATAGGAGGAGGAAGGTGTGTTGGATATATTTGCCACCTTAAGTTATTTGTAAAAATAATAAAGGCGGGATATAAATAAGTAAATAAATAAATGTTTAAAATGTAACATCCTGCCTCTTAACCTTGAAGTTTTATTAAGTTTTGCAATCCAGGAATAGATCTTAACTTACCTTTCTCTAATGGAACGTAATTAAAATTTGTGGAATATCATTTTCCTACCAATTAGAGCACTCTACATTACCGCCTACTTCTTTCTGGTGTCGGAAAAGATTGAGAGTGGTCTTCCTCAACCAGTGGCTTTTGGGATGTTTTGGATTACAACTCCCATCACCCTAACCAGTTGTGATCATACATGGGGGGAGAGGGGGACACCTAATAGGAATCATGGCTCAGTACATTTGAAGGATACTGTGTTGAGAAAGACTAAATATGGATTCTTGAACATGAAAGTGTAAAAAAGGAAATGGGCCAATACTCTTTTTCCTAAAATCTAAGATATACTATACTTAAAACAAATAGGATCAAACAGGATTTTTTTTTAAAAAAAAAAAGAGTACAAAAGCAATCAATATGTTACCTTAAGTAAATACTTGCTTAAACATCTTCTTAAATAGTGGGAAAATTGCATAATAATGGAAATCACTTTAATGAAATAGTTGAATTTCTTCCATGGTCAGTTTTGTTAATATATAAGTATCTATTGAGAAAAATTTCTGCCAGGATATCCTCTGGATCAGTGCCTCTCACTGAGAGTTGAAGTCCACTTTAAAAAAAAAAAAGTTGCCAATGATGAGAAACACTGCTTTGGATTGCGGTAGATCTAAATTGCAATTGGTATCAGTATTAATATTATCATTATAATAACCAATGTGCATGGCACTTCAGGGACGTTACCCTGCAGGTATGGCTGAATGTAAATACCCAGAAGCCTCAGTCAATATGGCAGTGATGAATGCTGAACTTTGTTGTTCAATAACATTTCCAGGGCCAAAGTTTCCCAACTTGCATTTCATAGATGACAAGGGATGAGCAACCTAATTCAGAGACACAGCCAAAACAAGCGTATAGTGCAATCTCGCCTTCCAATACCTGCCCTAAAATCCATATACTATATTCTCTGACACCTTTGCATAATCTCCATACCAAAAAGTGCAGAACAGTCATTTTCATTACTTTGACGTTTCTTCTGACTTTTTAATACCAAGATATTAGCTTCTGGCCATTTAATCTCTTTTTTCCTGGCGTCTACAACATAGTACTGTATCTAAATCTTGCTTTATTGCAGTGAAATAGGACCTCCCCCCCAAGCACATTTCCTTGTAAACATGGAGACGGTGCTCCACATTATAGAGCAGTGGTGGCGAACCTATGGCACGCGTGCCAGAGGCGGCACTCGGAGCCCTCTCTGTGGGCACACACACCGTCGTCCCAGCCCTGCCTCCCATGGCCCCCTCCTCACCAGTAGCCCCCCCAGAGGAGAGTTGCCCCTGGGCGCGGCCCATGTGAAGCAGCGCAGCCAAGGACATGGTAGCCGGGCAGCAGGGACAAGACTCTGCCCTTGCGCCCCGTCGCATGCGGATGATGCCGCAGGGCGCGGGTGGAGGGCATGGCCACCTTGGCGCAGATGATGCTGCAGGGCATGGGTGGAGGGCGTGGCCACCATGGGTGATCTGTGGCGGGCCGTGGAAGTGGTGGGTGGCGCAGCGGACAGGGCGGGACGGGGGTGAGGGGCGGTTTTTGGGCACTCGGTCTCTAAAAGGTTCGCCATCACTGTTATAGAGCGACCTACTCTCATAAGCTTTAAAAGGATTGTAATTTGCTAATCTAAGTATTGACTGGTCAATAACCAAGTCTAAATTGGTTGTAGGCAAGTCTGAGGCTGCGGGCATGGCCAACAAGAGACCTGTCTTGAGAGCGGTCTTGAGCTAAGATCAGAACTCATGCTGTGACTCTGTAAAAAGAGCTGTAGCTTCCCTGATACGTATCCTAAACTCCCAGCTGCAGTACTCCAAAGCATGTGATCCTCTCCTACACACTCATTTTATCCTTGCAAGAATCCTGTAAGGTAACTTAGGCTGAGAGTAACAGAGCCTGGAGAGCTTCATCGTGGAATGGGGAATGTAATCTGAACCTTCCAGTGTATGGTCAGACACCCTAGGACTACCTTCCCCAGCCTAATGCCTTCTAGAAATATTGGGCTGCTCACTCCATCACGTCCAGTCCTCCCTGCTTTGCTAGAAGGGTGGAAGGGTGCCAGATATCTGGAGGGCCCCCCCCCGGGGACAGTAGGGCTGCTTTGCCTTTACAACACAACGGGGAGGCTGCCGCTTTAGGGCGAAGTAGTCGTATTACTGACACTTCAGCACTCTGGAGGGACCAATCGGGCGGTTCTGCATCCGGGCCGCTCCACTTGTTCCTCTCCTGGCAGCGACCGTCGTGCTTTTCAACTAGCCTTTTTTTTTGCGGTGGGCGTGGCTTTGCCTTGCGAAATCAAATCCAAAGCGGCTTGTCATGAATATTAACATCACCCTCGACCAATGACAGCAGGCTCAGCTGTTTTCACGAGCTGAACTCGTACAGAAAGTTTTGAGTTTGGGGTTGTGTGTGTGGTGTTTTTTTTCCGCTTTGGGAAGAGTTCAGCGCTCGATCAGTGCCTGGAGCGGAGCTGCCGGACCGAGGGCAGTTACCGAGCCTCTTTCCAGCTCGAGCCACCGCGCAAGATGAGCGTAGCAGTGGAGGAAGCCGTCTTGCCATCCATCTCCACTTTTGCCGGCTTGGTGCCGCTGGAACAGAGGCGGCCCGAGATGGTACGGGAGCTATTGGCGGAGGGAGTCCTTCGGGAGCGAGGACCGGCGGCCTCTCAACTAGGGAGCAAGCGCCGTTTAACTCGAGAGGCGCACGGAGGATCTTACAAACTTTGCAAATTAAAAGTAGACGTAAAGAGCGCAAACGTCTCTGGGAAGGAGCTTCGGACCGGCCGGGCAATTTTGAACAGAGGGAATGCAAAGGCTCTTTCTCCGGCGGGCAGATTTTTCTGTTCCAAATTGCCCAGGGGTGCTCCCACCCGCCGCCTCTCCTCCTCGGTCTAAGATGTGCGTAGTTAGCTACGCTCGCCTTCTGCTCTTTTCTCTTGGGCTGGGGGACTCGAATGAGACGTGCAGATCTGCGGCGAACAAAATCGTTTCTCAACCGCGTTCTTGAAAAGCTGATGGAAGGCATAGTTTAGGAGACCAAGGCTAGTTAGATTTGTAAAGGGAAAGTTGTGGAGTTTGTTGATCTGGAGCTAACTTTTTTCGCAAACCCCCCCCCCCCCGCCCGGAGCGCCTTAGAGGCAGCACCCCATTCTCAACTTATCCGAGGTGGGCGCGTTTATTAGGCTATTCTGGTCCTGGTCCATTCAGAAGTACGTGCGGAGACTAAGCAGGGTGGAGTTCCTGATCGGGCTGATTTGACGTCCCAGAAAAGTGTGTCCCCATAATTGGCGGAATCCTCTATCTGGCGTCCCAACTCCATACATAGTTTAAGCGCCGTCGGAAAGGACAAACCTGTTAGTAAAGATTCCTGGGCTCGCTGAACAGTTTCGTTTTAATTGAAAGCAAGTGAAGCTGGGCGTCCGAATTTTGCCGACCCACCCCCACCCACCCCGTTTTCATTTTTTAGGGGATTCCTTGCATATCTTCGTGCGCAAAACTCATTTTGCCTTCGCGTGTCTTTTCAGGATTATACAGAATAGTGCTGACAAATGCGTAGGTTCGAGTTCGGCCTGAGCAAACAAGGAGTTTTCCTGTAAACACCTCGATTGGGGGCTCAGAAGGGATTCAGGTCGAAGTCCCCTTGGCGGCCAAAAATTAAACGGATTTCGGCAAAGGGAGCTCAACTCCGGGCATCTGTTGACACTCAGACAAGTCCGGGGCCATCGCTCGGCGCCCGGCGCGCAGGGGTTCGCGCAGGGAAAATATCGCGGTGGCGGTGCGCAGAGGGCGGGACTGAAAAGTTCAGGTTAATTTACTCCTCCATCATTCCTCGGGGGGGGGGAAGGTACCTAGGGACAGCTGATTCGGAGTTTCTTCCGACTTCGCTGTTGGCGCCGGGACGGTGCGGGGTTCGCAGAAGCCTGGCCTTGTGGGTCTCCGGGGAAGCAAGTAGAAGGCCAACGCTGGGGCTGCTCGGAGACAGGAGTGCGTCGTAACCCGTTTGTCAAGTTTGGGGGTGCTGTCACTAAGGCTGGGATCCGAGTCTCGGACGCATTTAACTCCTTTCCACACGGTAACTCCCGCTTTTCCCTCCGCAGAGGCTGGCTCCTCCTTCCTTGGAAAGCAGCGCCGCCGCCATCAAGAGGGAAGCCGACGAGCTAGGTAACTTCGTCGACCTGGAGTTCATCCTGGCGCACACCACCAACGGGCAGCCCAATGGCGGGGTGGGGCCCGCGCACCCCGGCGGCAACCCTAACTACCCCCTGCCCGAAACCCCGGAGAGCTGCGGCACCACCTACGACAGCGATAGTTCCAACTACCAGCCCCCTAACAAGTACGCGGCGTCCTACCTGCCCAGCCCCGGGCACAGCTACGTAGCCGAGCTCTTCACTCAGGACATGCAGCAACCCCCTCATTCGGTGGGCCCGAGCCACTGCGAGCTCCAGCGGCGGGAATATACCGAGCTGCGCGTCCCCGGCTTGGCCCACCCGCCCTCCGGCTTGCCCGCGGGGCTGCCCTTAGAGCACCTGCGCGTCAAGCAGGAGCCGATGGACGGCCACTCCTGCATGCTGAGCGGCCCGCCCGAGTGCCTGGCGTCCGGAGCCCTGGACCACAAGCCCCTTCTGATGCAGCCTCTGCTCCAGCTGCCCCAGCACGCGTCTTCGGCCTTCCCCGGCGAGCACATGGGCTCGGGCCCCCCGTGCCAGGTGGGCGGCGATCTGGGCGCCCAGATGGGGGCTCCCCAGCATTACCCGCGGCCTCCCCACCTCTTCCAGCCCAACTTCGCCGGGCAGATGCAGTCCCAGTTCCACGGACACTTCAGCGTCTTTCGAGAGCCTTTGAAACCGCGCGCCCAAGGCATGCCCGGGCTGCTCGTCACGCCGCCCAACTCGCCCGTCTTGGATTACTACGCCCCGATGGGTCCCCCGGAGGAATGCAAGCCGAAAAGGGGTCGGCGGTCCTGGGCCCGCAAACGCACCGCCACCCACAACTGTGAATTTGCCGGCTGCGGGAAGACGTACACGAAGAGTTCGCACCTCAAGGCGCACATGCGGACCCACACGGGTAAGGAGGCCGGGAAGGGACAGCAAGGGCGTTGGGTAGAGGGAGAGCTCCCCGGCTTAATGGTTGTTGGGGAGCAAACCCCGTAGTGTGGGGTTACTCCACCCGCGATGGGATAGAATACAAGGGCGGGAGAAGCCTTTTCCCCCCCAAAAAACTAGCAAGACATTCGCAGAGAATCGGGACCAGACCTCTCCGGCTGATCTGGCTCTGCCTCAGGGTTATGCAGCTAGAGGACCTCTGGAGTTAAGCGTCTTCCAAATGTATTGCTTGCCTGCTTAACTTTCGGGTTTCTTGGACAATGCGTCTGGACCGCTTTATTCAGTCTATCGAATAGTTTTAAGTAGATCACTTGTGGATTTGAACTCTGTCTACCTTTATTCAAAAGTAGCTTTCCCTGCCCCGTTCGGTGCGGCACTCTCAGGAACGTGTGTGTGTGTGTGTGTGTGTGTGTGTGTGTTAGCCTGTAGCTTGAGTATTCTTTTTTATATATATATATAATTTTTTATTATTTAAACCAACAAAACAAAACATAACTTCTAACAGTAATCTGATTATCAGACTGGGTGTACAATTGCTTTTCTCCTTATTTGGGGAGGGGGGGGAGGAGAGAGATGGGTGGAGGCAGGATGGAGAAGATGAATGATGCAATCCACAGACAATAAATTCAATTCACATTGATAGCCTTTCCTAATGGGAGTTGAATGAGTCCCCAACAAATATTGTGCTGTCTGTGTAATGTGAAAAGGATGCTTTGCACTTTTTTTCACCAGGTTGAGAAAGTTCACCAAACTTTTTTTTTCACTCTTTCCCAGGTGAGAAGCCTTATCACTGTACCTGGGAAGGCTGTGGCTGGAAATTTGCACGGTCAGATGAACTGACACGCCACTACCGCAAGCATACAGGTGTCCGGCCTTTCCAATGCCAGCTATGTGACCGTGCGTTCTCTCGATCAGATCATCTGGCCCTGCACATGAAGAGGCATGTGTGAAGCATGGCTGGCTCCCTGGGGCAGTGGGGTGGACTTTGGTAGGGCTGAAGAAGGGGAGGGGGGAATACAAGAGACCAAGGACTCTATTTATGAAGGGGTGGAGTATTTTCTTATTGGACTAGCTAATTTATGTATATATTATTGAAACATTTTAATATTTAAAGAGGAACTCTATTCTTATAGAAAAAGTATGTATTTAAAAGTGAATAGTTACACAAATCTGCCTGCTGTAGGGACTGCAATTTAAGAAAAAATGTCCTGGAGGTTTGGTGTGAGCAGTGTAACTGTGGCAGGATTATCCCCAAACTCTCAGTGTACACACAGCCATAATGCAGATCCCATCTTGATTGTCTCAAGCTGTTCATATGCTTTTAATTATTGTTTGTTTTATTATGCAATGGTCTTTTAATTATTGTTTGTTTTATTATACAATGTCATGTTAAAAGGCTCTGTTTTATAAAACTACTTTCTAAAGTAGATCTTGAGATGGGGATATATTAAAGTGGGTGGAAATACTGTTCCCTTTTGCTCTTCAAAGGGGTAGTGTCAAAACAAAAAGAACTGAAAATTCACACAAAACCATCCAGATTGATTTATAATGTGTATAATTAGTTATGGACGAAAGGCAAATATTTAAGCTTTCTTGATCTCTTAAAAGTAATGTTCGGTTTTTTTTGCCAACCTTTAGTATTAGCTTTTTTGGTATTAAATTTTTTTTAATGACATTTTGTTTCAGCTGTAAAGTTTCCAGTATGGTCAATCTATTCAGACCAATAAACAACCTGTGATGATGTAACCCTTCTTAAAGCAAGTAACATCCACCAATAAGTCTCCAGCTGACAGCAGTGCGTGTTTTGGGATTATCCATCTGAAGAAACTAAAATGGCCACTTCCGGAATAGGCTGATAAATAATATATACTCTGAACAAAGACAAGAGTTGTGTTGGTAGGTTGTGCAAGCTGTAGTGTTTAGGAACAAATGTTTTACAGCAAAGTTCTGTGCTCAGAAGTAAAGCTACAAACCCACACACTTCAAGTTTTTCCATCTTCTTTTCTTGCTCAGGGATGTTGCCAAACAGGACCAAAAATTGCCTTGATTCACAATTCTGAGAGGTGGTAAAACCACTTGGTTATAGACAGAGCCTTGAAAAAAATGCCTTATGAGAGTAAATAGAAATAAACTGTACTATTTCAGTGCTATTAGCCAATGAAAGCCATTGTAAGTTGCACTCTATGCATGCTTGTGTGTTATAGCTAATCACCACTTGGTCTGCATATCACAACAAGCCATAATGTGGTTTGTTGGTACCGGATTAGCATATTTTAGAAATGTAGGCATTATTTATAACCATGGTTTATGGCTTAACATGTTTCGACCTCAGCCAAGAACAAATATATTTTCAAATAAATATACGTAGTACTGCAATTATGAATAACAATGCAAGCCTAGTTATATTGAATCAAAAATAAATCTGTCCTGTATCTTATTTCCAGATAAGTGTGCATAGGGTTACAGCTAAAATGTGGTTGTATATATTAATTATAATACCTCAAAAGTGCTTTGTAGGATTAAAGCATATATGGAAAAAGCCATTTGTACTGCTTTTTAACTGCTGTGTATATTTAACTCTTCTAATGCATATCAGTTAATGAATTTTACTGGTGATGCCACTCCATATCTCAGTACTGAAAGCACATGAATCTATGGCATTTTCTGAACTCTGTATTCATTTGCACAAGCAAAGATGCCTTTAAAGTACTACAATAGTTTGTTCCAGAAGGCTAATGATTAATAGGCCATTGTTTTTCAACCATCAATAACTTTAGATGCCGGTTGCACCATTAAATTACTATTTTATGGACCTGATCTCTGATCGAGGCAGTTCAATATACCCTCTGAGTGTTAACTGATAGGCCCTTAAGGATATTTTTGCCTGCAAGCGGGGAACCCATATTGCTCTATATGTTATTTTAAAACCCCTATAGCCCCTAGGCCATCTGACAAGCAGGCCGAGGCTGATGGGAACTGAGACTTATACCTTTTAAAAACCCATAGGGTCTTTCCTGACTTTTTATCTGTGGCATTGGTGATATCCTCTGAAGGATGATCATTAAGCCAGGTACTGCTGCAGCTGCATTTTTTTTTCTAAACAGCTTTTGGATTTTATTTTTGTAAAGGGCATTTTTGTCCACTTCTGCTATACTTGAAATGTTCTTTTTGGAGGGAAAAAAGACCCCTTAATATGTAGCTTATGCAAAAAAGTTGTAATTCTTTTTTTAAAATGCTGTAAATGAATATGTGTTTTGTTTTTTAATAGCTCAGGTCCATTTAATAAATGACCTCAGCTCTGGTATGTGCACTGCACCTGTCTGTACAGTTTATGAATTACCAACTCCCATGCAGAATGTTAGCTTTATGTATATGCATACTTAGAAATATTCTTGATCCAATATGAAATAAATAAAACATAATAAAAAGCAGCCACTTTGTTTTTGACATGATTGGAAAGAAGGTCTTCAAATGAGAATAGTGAGATTATTTGTTTAAGAGATGTCTAAGCCCCATCTCTGAGGGCAAAGTCAGCTTTTCTATTTAAGATCTAAATGTAAAGCTATTTTTAAAATACACAAAAAGCAGTCTAGTTACCAAGTTCAGTCTAACAGCAGCAATGCTTCTAGTACAATCAGGTTGAAGAAAAATGTATTTTAGAACTTTTATAAAATTCTAAAATTGGAGATATACGTTGCCAGATCTCATTTCACAATATAAAGAAATCTTACAATGTACCATTTTTCAGTAACTACATCTCTTTGGAAGACAGTTTTATTTTTTAAAAAAACTTTTGTTTTCCTTATATGGCTTAAGTAAGTCAAATTTAGGAGCCAGTACTATGATCTTGACTATAGAAAGGACTTTTAGTTTCTCAGTTTAAAATGATCCCAGGTTTGTCAGTGTGCTTATTTTTTGAAGCTGGGCACTGCCCATCCCTCTGGCTTAGTTGAGTTCCTGCACTGGATCTACTGGTCGTTTCACTCCTCACTAAGTACTGAGGCTTCCTTTTAAATTAACATGGGGTGACTAAGCTTTAGCAGGTCTTTCTCCATCTTCTCTCCCTCCCACAGCCACTTATGTACTTCATTTTAGGAGCCAGACTTGTGTAGACTTGATGTGGCATTACCGGCACTGGCAAAACCGATTATCCCAAACTATGTAAGATGTGGCTAGAATTGAGGACTGGAGAAGTTTCAGCCACATGCAAGAATTCCAAGCCACAATCATCTACTTCATAATTCTTCTGGAGAAACATTCTTTTCTGGTGTTTATTTCTTAGGTGAATGCAGAATGGAGGAGTTTCTGTATTATTGGCCACAGTAGTACAGAAACCTGGAAGCAGTTCTGAACCCCTAGTTAGAAATGAAATTGAGGCAACTATTTTGCAGAGTTTCTGCATCTGGCTGGTAAAGTGTTAAGTGACATGGGCAAGTTTCATTTGTTGTGTAGAGTGCAGTATGTATATATTAAGCGACATATCTTACACAAAGGTATACAAAGGCAGCAACCATATAAACTTTCATGGAGTTCAGTCCACTAGAGCGGGATTAACATAATTTGCCCTTCTGGAAATGAACATAACCTTCAAAGATTTGTTTTCACTTTCCTACTACAGAAAAAAGATTCAACACAAGCTGACAATATAAAAGCATTTTATTTCAAATGCTGGAAGCTAGCTATGACTCATTAAATCTAGTATAGACATGAGTTTTGGATATAGTTAACCCACTAATGCACCACTTGGCTTCAACAGGCTACAATAGTTATATTTCCATGTATACTGTTATTTTTATGCTTGGGGGGAGATAAATACATTTGGTTCAGGGTGAAAATCACTTCCTCCTATGATAGAATCTTAATAAACATGCAGTAAAACTGGATAAAACTGAAAAGATTTTGTAGAATTCTTGATAAAGTAACAGATCAAGGTTCTGGATGATTTTTTCCAGGATTTTGTTCAGAAAAGCCTTTGTTTATAAATGGGGGAGACCATGAATAAAGTGAATGCCTGGTGAATTGGGAAAGCTGTACTAGATGAGCGTTGCGTGTGTATGAGTAACTGGCTTTGGTAGAATTGTGTTCCTAAGCTACTCCAAACATCCTGTAATGCTGGAAAAGCTGGATCCAGAGATTGCCTTCTTCATCGTCTTGGAATAAAAATCTGCAGTGTAAGATTGATTTGAATCTTTCTGAGAAGTGGAACAGGATGTTTCAGCCTACATTTCACAACTGCCACTTAGACCTTTGGTTGTCTGTTGTTCTATTCAGATAATACTTGACATCAATATCCTAATGAGGGAGAAGAGGGCTAAAACGATGCTTTTACCCTTTAAGGCAAAATGGTTATGTTTCATCTGCCCAATATTGTCTGTAAATTACAAAGGCCTATCAGCAAAATTAACAAAGCAATAAATTAGAAATACAACATAAATGGCAAGGGGAAAGAAAAACAAACTATGTAAAAAAACAAAAACCATCATGCCATCCTAGCACGGGCAATTTCAATGATAATTTTTAATGATAAGACTTCCAGAGGAAAAGGAATATCTTAGTCAGATGCTGTGTGAGTGAAGTTCAGTAATCTTCGGGAAGGCTTCTCCAAACCAAGGCAGTAACAACTGAGGGGGTTTTCTAATCACATTTGGTGGTAGTGAAATCTAAAGAAAGCCTCTAAAGCAGTGTTTTTCAACCTCAGCAATTCTGGGAGTTGTAGTTCACACATTTTAATGTTGCTGAGGTTGAGAAATGATGCTCTAAAATGCTGTGTTTACAGGTAGACCATAAGCTTAGCCTGCTGGAAATTTCTATCGTTTGGGAATCTTGCCCTTTTACCTCTTCTTCAGGATAGGAACTGCTTCAGAAAGTGTACAATACCAACATTACTGAGGATAATAACATTGTTTCAGAGGGAGGAAAATCACTTTCCATATAGACGAAATGAAGAGCG